TTTTGGATGATAAAGATAGTCATCTACCGTTGTCTCCAAGCGTTCTACAACAAACTAGGCCTACATCATGTCCGGTCCTGACAGTGGAGATGACTCACGACCAACTTCCACCAGATGCGTGTCCGGTCCAGTCTCCGTTTTTTACGTGTTTATAAGGTTTATAGAGTTTTATACCACATACATCATATTATCTCGCACTGTCGCCAGTTAGTTTGTTTAATTACCGCTATTAAAGTTATAACTTGCACGCTTTATAAAATGTTCAGTTCATGTCACCTCCCAGGCTCCGTAGACTTCTACTTTATTTAGTGTAAAATGTCATGAAAGACTGTGAACACCTATGACAAAATGTACTTGTTTCAATCATAGATGATCTGCATCCCCTGAGGCGCTGTTGGAGTATTTGAATGGTTGCCACCTGACAGTGAGTAAAACTTCTATCCATTTGTATAAGAATATCTGTTTTGGTCACATCTGTATAAACAGTAGGTAATCAAATCCCAAAATAAAGAAAGAAAACTGGATTTAAAAAAAATAGCCAGTTAGTCTATTTACATTTTTCTTTTCACAGTGTCTGAGTTGAGGGTTGTTCTGCTGGGGAACTCATGGTCTGAGAGGAGTTCAGTGGGGAACTTCATAATGAGAGAGACTGTGTTCAACACTGGAAAAGAAGCAGACCAATGTGAGCAAGTCAGGAGACAAATAAAGGAGAAAGACATAGTTCTTATCAACACTCCAGATCTGCTGCATCCCACCATCTCTGCAGACAAACTGACAGAACATCTGACAGACTGTGTGAGACTCTCTGATCCTGGACCTCATGTGTTCCTGTTGGTTCTCCAGCCTGATGACTTCACAGAGGAATATAAACAGAGATTCTGTAGAGTTCTTAAACGCTTCAGAGATCAGTCATTTGAGCATTCACTGATACTGATATCAACACCCAGAGAGCAGGGCTCAAGTAGTGTTAAAATACATTTGCAAAATCAACCCTTAAAAGAGATGATCAGAGAATGTAGATACAGATATTTGGAGCTGGCAAACCTTGAACTTCCAGAGCTGTTGACCCGTTTCAGTCAAATTGTGAAAGAACACAATGGAGAGCATGTCATCTGTGAAGGGTTCATGGATGCCCCTGATGATATACAAAGAATACCAAAAAAGGAAACAATGTCCAGAATCGTGGATGCTGTTAGATCTTCTGGTAAGAGATCTGTTCTAATCAAAATGTTTAAACTCAAAATCATTACTGATCTCATGAGAATATGAAGCTGATAGTCAATGATGTCATCTTTTCACAGCTCTTTTTACAGGTATTTTTAGCTGGGCTAACAGGGTGACACCCCCTCCCTCAGGGGAAAGTAAGTAAACTTTCATAAATAGACACATTTTATTATTACTGACCAGTACAATATTGGCGCCACTGTGGTTGACCCTTATCCCCCCAAAACTCATCTCCCTTTAGAGAAAACTTGGGAAATTATAATCACTTTTATTTTATTTTATTATTATTATAAATATATTGTATCCAAAAATGTGAAACCGGAATCCAATAGAGACTTGACTGTATGGATCTGATAGCAGTACAAAGTTCAGCTCCCGCACTAAAAAACAACTTGGGCCCATGCCCATAATGCAAAAGGTGGTGAGCCATTTTGTACTGATTTACAATCAATCAATCTTTATTTGTATAGTGCCAATTCATAACAAATGCTGTCTTTAGACACAAAAATAGTAGATCTAGACGGTACTCTTTATATTATTTACAAAGACCCACATTAATCTACCATGAGCACAGTAAAGTTACAGTGGCAGGGAAAAACTGCCTTTTAACAGGAAGGAATCTGGAGCATCACCAGACTCACCAAAAGAGTGAGTTGTATAATTAAAATAATGCTATTTAAGCCATGAACAAGGTTCAAGGTTCAAGGTTGTCTTTATTATCCCTGCTAGAGGGCAATTTGTTTTGCAGTCAGCAGTAAAACACACACATACATACAGCCCGAAATGAGCAAACAACATAGAAAGGACAGTAAATAATAGATAAGAAACAGAGGCAACACAGTTAGTGGTTTTAAAAAAGGTGATGGCAGCAGGAACAAATGAGTTTCAGGGTGCATATTCAAAATCAGTCCTCTTGAAGGCTTTATCCGATCCAACCCAATTTGTCTTGGTACCGTAGATACCTTGGAGAATAAAATGTATTAAAGCTTAGTTTTGTTAAAGGGCGTGGCCATGGCTGGGGGTTAAAATGTATGTAAAATTACAGAAAATCACTGTAAGTTTATATATGCAAGGTCCAGCACTGTAAAGTGCAGAAGTTAAATCAGTAATAAAGTGTATTTGTATGTATTTGTGTAAACTGCTTAGCAAAAGTTATGCTGTAATAAATTAAAAGTTATGGACACATTAAATCAGGAAGCATACATGTAAATTACTGTATACTTCCTGTTTTAATGTGACGGTTTAACAGTTTGTAAACAGGTTGAGGAATATAAATATATATAATGATTATGTAGGTATGAACAGACACACACAGACAGACATTGATTTAATGGTTTATATTTTCCTGCTACTGTCTGGATTAAGCTAATTAGAAGCTAACATGAAGATTATGAGTTTTCCTTTCATTAAACCATTGAAAGCTAAATATGGAAAACAGAATGTAAGCTTTAGTTTAACCATGTGGCATGACTTAATGTCTCTCTCCACGTTACATTTTATTTTTCTATTACAGTCAGAATTCTGCTGCTGGGGATAAAGGACGACAAAACAACAAAACTTGGAGACTTTATCACCGGAAAAGAACAACACAGCTCAACCATTAAAGCAAAGCTTTCCTCAGCCAAACAAATGGTGCAGAGTGGAGAATGGAGAGGAAAGCCTCTAACAGTTGTGAAAACTCCAGATGTTTTCAGTGTTTCTTTGGAGAAGCGGAGAGAAGAGATGAAGAAGGCTGTGAGTCTCTGTCCTCCTGGACCAAATGTTGTGCTGCTGTTAGTGAAACCTTCTGATTTCACTGAAGAGAACAGACAAACACTGAAGTTCATCCTGAGTTTGTTTGGTCAAGATGCTTTCAAACACTCAGTGGTCATCAGCACACATAAGGAGGATAAAACAGATGTCTCTTTTAGAAGACTCATTAAAGACTGTGGAGAACACTACAGTATGGCTGACAACAACCGTGATGTATTAATGCAAAAGATTGAGAAAACTGTTTGAAAACAAAGGAACCTTTCTCACTGTCATTGAGGATTCAGTCGCCCAAAGTCTGGTCTTATGAAAACAGCTTTGAGCCTGGTTCTGTGTGGAAGGAGAGGAGCAGGGAAGACTTCAGCAGCTGAGGCCATTTTAGGTCAGACAGATCTTCATTCAGTCTCCAGCTCATCAGAGTGTGTTAAACATCAGGGAGAGGTGAGCGGACATTGGGTTTCCCTGGTGGAGCTTCCTGCCCTGTATGGAAAACCTCAGGAGGAGGTGATGAAGGAATCATTCAGGTGTGTCTCTCTCAGTGATCCTGAGGGCGTCCATGCCTTCATCCTGGTTCTACCTGTGGGTCCACTCACTGATGAAGACAAAGGAGAGTTGGAGACCATGAAGAACACATTTGGGAGTCGATTCAATGACATCACTGTGTTGCTGTTCACTGTTGAGTCAGATCCCTCAGCTCCAGCTGTTGTTAACTTTCTAAAAGAAACCAAGTCCATCCAGGAGCTTCTTCAGAGCTGTGGAGGAAGATTTTGGTTCTAAACATCAAGGCAAGCAGCAGATCCCAGAGCTGTTGGACATGGTGGAAAAGATGCACAAAGATAAATCCAAATCATTCATCTTCACAACACAAACATTTGCACATGCCCAAATAGAAAAGATCAAACTCTACAGGCTGAGCTGAAGAACCTGAAAACAAAAGACCCAATCATCTGTAAGTACTTTTTATTTTAATTATAAATATAAATTATACTAAATCACTTTTTAAAATAAACCTATTGTTAATCATACCAAAAGTCTATGTATCTATAAATTTGTCAGCATTGAAGGTAATCTAGGTCTCTTTTTTCACAGGTGATGATGATAAGCTGAGTGAAGAGAGTCTCAGGATTGTGCTGATAGGGAAGACTGGCCTGGGAAGAGTTCTTCAGGAAACACCATTCTGGAGGAAAATTTGAAGCAAGTATCCAAATCAGTCACAAAATGTTGTGAGAAAGCACAAAGTGATGTGAACGGTCGTCCGTCACTGTGGTTGACACTCCTGGTCTGTTTGACAATAGCTTGTCTCATGAAGAGGTTCAAGAAGAGCTGATTAAATGCATCAGTCTTCTGGCTCCAGGACCACATGTCTTCCTGTTGGTGTTGCGCATTGGCAGATTTACACCAGAGGAGAAGGAGACATTAAAAACTCATCAAGGAAGTCTTTGGGAAGAATGCTGAAAAGTTCACCATCGTTCTTCTAACTGGAGGAGATTCATTAAAGCGTAAGAACACGTCCACTGAAGAATACATTGATAAGAAATGTGATGATTCCTTTAAGAAACTCCTTGCTGACTGTGGAGGAAGATACCACGTGTTTGATAACTGTGAGGAACAAAACAGAACTCAAGTCAGTGAGCTGATAACCAAGATTGAAGAAATGGTGAGCACTAATGGAGGCAGCTGCTACACCAATGAGATGCTGCAAGAAGCTGAAGCCGCTATAAAGAAAGAAATGGAGAGACTCATGCAGGAGAAAGAAGAAGAGATGAAGAGAGAGATGGAGGAGCTTCAAAAGAAACACGAGGAAGAAATGAAAGAAATGAAACAAAGAATGGAAGAACAGAGAATAGAAATTGAAAAGGAGCGACAACTGAGAGAAAAACAACTCCAAGAAAAGCAGGAGAGGATCAAGAAGGATCGTAAGGAGAGAAAGAAAGAACAGCAAAAGAGAGAAGAAGAAAACAGGAAAAGAGAGCGAGAGGAAAAAATTAAGAAACAGGAATGGAAACAGAAACTCTCAGCTTTGGAGAAACAGATAAAATCAGAATCAGAATCAAAGGAAACAATTGAGAAAAAGCTGGAGGAGACTAGAGAAGAGATGAGAAAGCAACAAGAGACTTGGGAGAAAGAAAGAAGAAAACGGACACAAGACGATGAACAGAGACAACAGGAGGAACGAGCAAAACTTAAAAAGCTCCAAGATGAATATGAAAAAGAAAGAGAGATTAATGAAAAGAAAAGAAAGGAAGAGGACAAAAACAGAAGAGAACAGGAGGAGAAGGAGAGAAGTGATATGGAGGAAAACTACAAGAAACAAATGAAGGAAATGAAGAATAAGCATGAAGTGGAGGCCAGAAAACAAGCTGAAGAACTCAATGATTTCAGACAGAAATACATGAAGGACTTCAATGCACTGATAGAGAAACACAAGGAGGAAATGTGTGAGTTGAAGCAAAGACAAGAAAGACAAATGCACGAGGCAGAAGAGAGACGTGACAAAGATTACAATCTTTTACAAAACCTCTCAGAAAGCAAAGAAAAACATCTGAAAGAAGAAAGAGAGGAATTGAAGAAAAAGCACGAACAAGAAATAAATGAAATGAAACAAAAATGCGAAAGCAAATGTATTATCCTCTGATGGTTCCATCAACTCTGGCTTATGACATTAGCTGATTGAACACCGTCCGTTTTAGTTTTGTGTCTAGCTGGACCAGTGTCTAAGAACGCCACAAAGACACTTCCAATAGCAACTTAGTTCTTGCTAAAGTTTATGGATGTGATGTCATGTAAAACAAACACATGATACCTGTGCCCTAATGAAAAGGACAAGTGCTCATCCAAACACTGGGACCATGACGTCCTTGGAGGAAAATGTTTAAATGCAGACGTTGCTGACGCTGTGTTCTGGCCAGGAGAAATCTGCCACCCAAGCTGATCTGACTCAGTCGGTGACTTCATCTAACATTTAACATAACTAAAATGGTGTCATCTTTTGCTGTTTTATATACTGTAGAAAATTGTAAGAGAGATGCTGCCACAAGAGGGCGCCCTGTGTATACAGTAAAACAGGCCTGTTCCTGCTAAGAAGTGATTCCTGTTTGACTTCTCAATTCAGTTTAGATATAAATCAAACACAATCTGAATCAGATTGTGTAATTAGTAATTTCAGGTTTTATGATCTTTGTATTTTAAAAAAAATTGTCTTTTATTGTAAAATATGTTTTTTCGTTTCCTATAGTTGATTATACACATTCAAGTTATTTCATTTATTCAAAAAATTAACATCAAGGATTTTAAGGAAATATTTTGGTAATTTTTTCAAGTTTACTTATTTTTGTAGAAATTTCTGAGGTAAAACTTGTTTTGTTTTTCTTTTTTCTATGTCTGTGATAATTAAAAATATCTGAACAAAATAATATATTTTCAGTTGTTGCTTTTATCATGGGGAAGTAATATTCTTACTATGTGATCTTACATTTAATAGAAGATATATGAATATCATCTAATCTACAGAGTGATTATCCCACAAATCAGCTGCTGCCTTTCATGATTTAGTTTTAAAGCTGACTTCTAAATTGTACTTTTTATGTCCGGTTAAAATGAATCAGTCAATAGTAGCCACGTTGTAAACAAGTCTCTGAGAAACATAAAGCTCTAGCTTTAGAGACACGACATTTACAAACATGTTTTACGTTTCTGAGTGAAGGCTTTTTGCACACAAAGTCTGTTTTCTTTTACATCCAAAATTGCCACTGGTTTGAAAAAAAGGATCTCATGTTGTGTAAATCATGTTTGCACACTGACCCAGAAACTTTTTCATCATTTTTTTTTCAGAACAGGTTTGATTTTCTGTGTGTTTCTGCCTCCATCTCTTTTTGTCTCAGTGTTCAGGATCAATTACATTTTAATGTGTGGTTACAGTAGAAGGCAGCAGTCAGTCTAACTTGACTTCTGACATCCTGAAATACACCTGGAAGTGATCAGGATAACTCTGCAGCTCTTATTAATGAGGAAACTCTCCTTGATATTGTCTTGTTTTCAGCAAGGGATGGACCACATGTTTTTATTTTTTCCAACTGAAATGACCACAATATCATCTTCACTACCTGATGAGAACAGTGCGTTCATCCAATCAGCAACGATTCATGTCACCTGAAGGTACCTGGCTTTCCTGTTAGAGGTTAATGTCCTTCTCTGTTTTGTGATTTGTTGATGGTTTTTGTGATATGAAAAAAAATCCTCCGATTTAAAAAATAAAATGCATGGACATGATGTCGCTGAGTACAGTCTCAGTGTTGTCACCTTTACTTGAGGACATTCACAGAGTTAATGGTAACCGTAAGCCTACAGGAAAACTCAAAATCAACAGCACAATACAGTTTTTCACAATTGCTACAGAAAGACACACTTCTTGAAACCTTCCTCCCTTTAATCAAAACTGTGAACAGAAAACCCAGTTTTGAAATACATTCACAAAACCTCTGATTCTTCTGACAGACTCAAACAATCACATGAAAACAGTTTTTTCTGTGCCACAATCACACACTGTTTTCACATCATACACACAGCAGTCAAAATAAAAACACCACAGAGCAGACGTCACACATTACATCCAAAAAACAAACCAGTGGTTAGGGATCGCTCCAGAATTATTATTTTTTAATTATTTAGGAAGCAAGTAAGAAACATTAATAAAATAAATGATACAATTACTGAAACTGCAGTTCAGTTTTCCAAGAGAAATATTGATAAAGAAAACCTTTTGCACACCTGGACAGGTGCATAGGAGAGATGTCGACGAACAAAATAAAAAATGACCCCCGCACTCTGTCGTCTGCATTGTACTTTATTGCTTCACTTTAGTACTCCGAACTTCAACAGGTTGATTAATCAAAACTTGGATGGAAGCTCACTGAATATTCAGTAATACATCACAACTTTTACAATTCTTTCACTAAGTTAGTGACTTATATTTATTTATATGTTAATTTCATGTCCATGCACATTTGTTGTTGTTCTTGTACTTTTGTATATTGTTTTTAATCCTTATATTTGGTATTTTTGTATTAGATTTTTAAAATCATTTTATACTGAGCTTGCACCGTGGTTCAGAGAGAAACCTCTTTCTGTGTGTCCAGCACTGTATGGAAAAATTGACAATAAAGATGACTTTGACTTTTTGCGCTGTAATGGAGACAAATTACAGAAAAAAGAAACAATGGACCATCTTACCTCCATTTAGTAGAGGTGTGGTCTCTGAAGCGCTTACAGCAGACTTCTGAGAGAGGTTGATTAATCATCAGAATCAACCTGTTGAAGATCCGCAAGTGCAGACGACATTGTGCAGGAGTCTTTTTGTCTTGTATTGTTTTCAAAACTCAGTCACAGTTTACATATTGCATAGCCTATGTGTGATTTTTCATTCAGCCTCAGCATCGTGCCTTTCTGCTTGATCAGGCCGGAGGTCTTCATCCACATCACAGGCAATATTGTCTCTTCCTCATCTAACTCTCAGATTGTATTAATTTAAGGTGTGCACTCTGAAATGGCTTATGTTGGCTTAATTACATCATTAGCAACACGTTCAGATTTTAGTCGTTGTGTGTAAACTGTGAAAACTGTGCTGTATTTGTGTTTAACTTCTGTCACCTGTTACCATTATGCTTCACAGGTGTACCATCATGTAGTAAGCGAGAAGTGTTTAGAGTTTTGCAAAAAAGAGAATGAGATTTGCAATTTGTGTCTTTGTAGGTGGACTGTATCTGTTATCACTTCTAAAG